TCAGAACTGTTGAGCAGCATTTGAAACTTGTACACAAGACTAATCTTTCTCATAAAAATTTTAGTTACAAAATTTGATTTTATTTATATCTGAGAAAGAAAATAGAATGAATTGCGATAAAGTATATATCCTCAAATATTGGAAGAAAAAACCTTCCTCTTTTGGTAAATGAGTTGTATTCTGTTTTTATTTACTACTTGATTTAAATTGAAGTGAAATTCATATAACATGAAATTAACCCTTTTGAAATGCACAATTCAGTGGCACTTAGTACATTCACAATGCAATATGACCCACCACCTCTGTCTAGTTCTGAAACTCCTCTGTTTTTATGTTACATTTGTGTTACTAATACATAGAAAATGAACTGAGTTAAACCCTATGTAGGTTTCCCTTCACTGGTAACTGACGTTTTATGAAATGATTTCTTACCAAAGCTGCTGAAAGACACATTATCCCTTTCACCTCTGTGCTCTGCTGCCACCTTTGGGCCACTTTATGACTCACAATGGATAAGTTTCACATGAATCTGATTTAACTGTTAGTTTTAGAATCTTATTGCATTAGATGTTAGGTAGAAGAAAGGAAGAGAAAGTAATGGACCCTTAGCCAAAGTGAAGTCTTGAAATATGAAATGTCAATTTTGTTTATCCAGATTCATTCATTCCCTCACTGCCAAACTAAGGAGTTCGTTTTATAGTCTTGGATATCTCTATGCAATATAATAACAATACCTTACCCCTCTGTCTAGCCTTATATGTGCTGTTTTTATAATTGTTCTCATTTAACCGTCTTCTTTTAACCTCTATGAGTAAGACTGGGAATGTTTTATCCCCATTTTAGAGTTGAAAAAATGGAGGCTTGGGGAAGAATGATAAGACCATTTAATTCCTAGCAGACCTTAAACTCACAGTTTGGATCTGCTGCCTCCTAGTCCAGGGCCCCTTTGCCTTTTCCTAAACTAGCTCTGCTCTCTGTATATGAGCTCACAATGCAGAAAGCCTGAAAGCTGTTTCAAGTAGCTTGTGGTTGTCATTGTTTGCCAGGAATCTCTGGGAAAGCTGACCACTGGAGATGCTTGTGTCCCTACCAACTGTGAACTAGCCAGTGCTCTGTCCCATCCGGATATCAGCCACCTCACAGAGAACCTGCCCGAAGCTGCACCAGAGCTGGGGCAACAACCCATGACTGGTAAGATTATTTTCCCATTTGTTAAACTTAAAGATGGGTGGGGAGATACCCTAATGAAAACATTATACAGACCGGGCGCAGTGGCTCACACCTGTAATCCCAGCACTGTGGGAGGGCGAGGCGGCGGGTCACTTGAGGTCAGGAGTTTGAGACTAGCCTGGCCAACATGGTGAAACCCCATCTCTACTAAAAATACAAAAATTAGCTGGGCATGGTGGCGCGCACCTGTAATCCCAGCTACTTGGGAGGCTGAGGCAAGAGAATCACTTGAACTGGGTAGGTGGAGGTTGCAGTGAGCTAAGATGGCACCATTGCACTCCATCCTAGGCGACGAGAGCAATACTCCATCAAAAAAAATTATAATAATAAAGCATTATACATAGATAATTTTTAGAAAAATCTTTTACACAAATTAATATTTAAATACTGCCTGCATTTAGCACCTTTACTAGATCATTGTGCCTAAACTCATCATTTTCATGCCATGTTGAATACATCCAATTTCAGTGAATTGACCCTTTTTACCCTTTTCTGACACCAACAAGACATAAGATGAATCAAAAGGACTTCCCACCCGTCAAAATCTCGGCACTCTGCCTATGTGAAATCAAATGCACTGAGAAATGGCAACAAAAACCTCCACAAAGGACAAGTGAAATGATACTGAAAAACCACATATAAGTGTTGATGAGAGATTAAGTAACATCATGGAGGCAGAAATCATCTCAGTATTTATTTAGGGGCCAGGCGCAGTGGCTCATGCCTGTAATCCCAGCACTTTGGGAAGCTGAGGCAAGTGGATCACAAGGTCAGGAGTTCAAGACCAGCCTGGCCAACATGGAAACCCTGTCTCTACTAAAAAGACAAAAAAATTAGCCATGCTTGGTGGCAGGCACTTGTAATCCCAGCTACTCAGGAGACTGAGGCAGTAGAATTGCTTGAACCTGGGAGGTGGAGGTTGCAGTGAGCTAAAATCATGCCATTGTACTCCAGCCTGGGCTACACAGCAAAACTCTTGTCTCAAAAAAAAAAAAAAAAAAAGGAGGAAATTAGTCAGGTGTGGTGGCCTGTGGCTGTACTTGGAGGCTAAGACAGGAGGATTACTTGAACCTAGGAGTTTGAGACTGCAGTGAGCTATGATCATGCCACTACACTCCAGCCTGGATGACAGATCTAGACCCAATCTCTGGGGGGAAAAAAAGTATGTGTGGGGGTGTGTGTGTGTAAAATCTGGCTATCCATCATCTAGTAGTTGCACAAAATAATATTGTAAAACATGATTTTTTAAAATCAAGCTGAATTAAGTGACTTTGCTTCCTTGTTAGTGGAGACCTTTATTGAAAATTGGGATTCTGGCTGGGCGCGGTGGCTCATGCCTGTAATCCCAGCACTTTAGGATGCCAAGGTGGGCGGATCACTTGAGGTCAGGAGTTCAAGACCAGCCTGGCCAACATAGTGAAACCTCGCCTCTACTAAACATAAAAAAATTAGTGGGTGTGGTGGTGCATGCCTGTAATCCCAGCTACTCAGGAGGCTGAGACACGAGAATTGCTTGAACCTGGGAGGCAGAGGTTGCAGTGAGCTGAGATTGTGCCACTGCACTCCAGCCTGGGGGACAGAGTGAGACTCTGTCTCAAAAAAAAAAAAGAGAAAGGAAATTTGGATTCTAAACTTGCACTCTGTGGGTAGGGGACACTCTTCTCAGTGGCTGGTGATGACTGTGATCCCACTTGTCGAGCTCTGTGGAAGTCCCGGCAGTCCTCCGCAGCTTTCAGCTGGTTGTTACTGTCTCAGCACCTGCCTTCTGATTGGTTAGCAAACTATGGTGGTAGACAGAAAAAAGATAGCCTTACTTATCAGGACTGTCCTATAAAATAAAAATATGGGCCGGGCACGGTGGCTCACATCTGTAATCCCAGCACTTTGGGAGGCTGAGGCAGGTGGATCCCTGAGGTCAGGAGTTCGAGACCAGCCTGGCCAACATGGTGAAACTCAGTCTCTACTAAAAATACAAAACAAAATTAGCTGGGCATAGTGGCAGGCGCCTGTGATCCCAGCTACTCAGGAGGCTGAGGCAGGAGAATCGTTTGAACCCGGGAGGCGGAGGTTGCAGTGAGCCGAGATCGCGCCACTATACTCCAGCCTGGGCAAAAAGAATAAGAGTCCATCTCAAAAAAAAAAAGAAAAAAAAAGGAAAACCTCAGAATATCTACCCCATACCCTGATGGCTACTCACAGAAAAAAATACAGGCCCCTGAGGTCTTTGTTCTGCGATCCGAGGCTCTTTGTTCCTTTGTTAGTGATGAGGCTGTTACTGTGGTTTCTGGTTTGTCTTTTGGGTTCACATTTACTTGCTGAACAAACACAGGCATTTTTTTGTTAGCCATTTGATTTTACTGCGAAGTGTGTTAAAAAGGGTTCTATTCGGCCGGGTGCATTGGCTCACACCTGTAATCCCAGCACTTTAAGAGGCCAAGGTGGGTGGATCACGAGGTCAGGAGATCAAGACCATCCTGGCTAACACGGTGAAACCCCATCTCTACTAAAGATACAAAAAAATTAGCCGGGCATGGTGGTGGGTGCCTGTAGTCCCTGCTACTCGGGAGGCTGAGGCAGGAGAATGGTGTAAACCCAGGAGGTGGAGGTTGCAGTGAGTCGAGATCGTGCCACTGCACTCCAGCCTGGGCCACAGAGCAAGACTCTGTCTCATAAAAAAAAAAGGAGGGGGTTCTATTTGAGGGAGATGAAGTTACACTGAGGCAGCCTTCAATGTCACCTTTGAAAGTAAGGCTTCATTTGAGGCCAGCATCTTCATACATTTTAAGAGTGCATGTTCTACATAATGGTCCTCTGGAAGTTTTCTTCGAATCCAGATTTGCTTTGGAATAGAAGAGGGTTAGCAAAGGGCTGGGTTTTTTTCACTAAACCAACATTTCCTACTTGCAACTTCATGCAGAACATTTGCTTTCCTGCCACCGAGGAATTTCTTACTCTAGGTAGGCCAGTTTTTGTCAATACTGAGGGTTTCATCGGTGGTAGAAAATGTGGTACATACACACCACGGAATACTAGGCGGCCATTAAAAGAAATGAGATCATGTCCTTTGCAGGGACATGGATGGAGCTGGAAGCCATTATCCTCAGCAAACACACACAGAAACAGAAAACCAAACACCGCATATTCTTACTTATAAGTGGGAGCTGAACAATGAGAGCACATGGACACAGGGAGGGGAACAACACACACTGGAGCCTGTTGGGGATGGGGTGGTGGGGGGCGGGAAAGCATCAGGATCAATACCTAACGCATGCGGGGCTTGATGCCTAGGCCACGGGCTGACAGGTGCAGCAAACCACAATGGTTTGCTATGTAACAACACATTTACCTATGTAACAAACCTGCACATCCTGCACATGTATCCGAAAACTTAAAAAAAAAAAAACAACACTGCGGGTTTGTACCTTAAGTAAGTGGGTGTCTGCGTGTCAAGTGCTCTTCTGTTATAGTTAGCGTAGGAAGAATTTCATCTCCCAGCCCCGGGCTCCCTGGAGCTCTGTGCACCTCTGTGACTGTACTGACCCTGGCAGGTGCAGGTGTGTGGATGCTTTTCTGCCTCGCCCTCTCTGGATTTCCCACAGATAATGAACCTTGAGAAAGGTGCAGCTGTGTGTCCCTTACGCCCACTGAGCAGCCAGGAATGCTAGACCAGGAACTGATTATATTTAACAGGCAATAATATATGTGCTATATTTAATTAACATGTTGATACATAATATATTAGTTACCATTTAATTCTTTTAGGGTCCTTGTTAGGATTGATCGAGTTGCAATGACACACTGGCACCCTCGAGGGCTTTTGGGGTGTATCTGAAATATTCGATTACCTGATCGCTAAAAGATTTTAGAGGTTCTGTCTCCTTTTGTTAGATATTTCTCTCTCCTTCCCAATGAAAAGGGTATCTGTGACCAGTTGGTCCTGCTGAGTACTCAAGTGCTGGTAGCAGTTCTTCCAGTGTTACTACAAATAGCTTAGCTGCTTTCCAATATGTAAGAAGGATGTTCTTCAAAACATCTCTTTGGTTTTTTTTTTTGAGTTTTTTTGTTTTTGTTTTTGTTTTTGTTTTTGTTTTTTGAGACAGAGTCTC